AGAAGCTGCTATCTCTGACTAATAGTATCGCTACGACTTCTGTGGTTATACAAATAAATTGGTGCAGGAATATTTCAGTGTTTGTTACAGAAGAAGCAAAATTTCAATAATGCCAATGAATAAAGCAGTTACTTACTAGCTATATAGTGCATTAATTGCAATAAGATCTAAAGCTTGATAAAGCCTTTTGACTTCAAGAGGTCGACCTTCTGATAAAAATCTTTTAACGTTTTGTGTTTCGATATGCCATAAGTATTGTGATAATGAATTTGTTCCCAAGTCGATGTTCATCCAGACAAGAAGAAAATTAGCTGTATATGACGACCAATGAAGCAAGAGTGCTCCTGTTTTTGATCTACAGCAGTATTGTAATTCCACACTTGGAAAATCTACCCCTCTGTCAGTTGCACGACCTGTAAATCAATCGATGTCAGTGCTTTTTTTTTTGAAACAATATTTATCGATTAAAAAAAAAAAGAACTTACTACGACCTTCTTCAGCATTAGTCAAGTTTCTTGTAACTGGTTTAAGAACTATAATTTGATTAACAAGTTGTTTATATAAAAACAAAGCGTCCTTATGTTCTGATAATGCTCTAATTGTTTCTTGTTTATTTTCATTAATTAATGCAAAAGCAGAATCTATAACACGTGATTCATTTATGTCACCAGCACCAATGAGTAACTGAAAATCACCTAAATCATAATATTCAGATTGATCAGATGCACGTGAACAAATGCGCAGAATAGTTTTTAAATTTTCGGACATTCGCTTTAAAAAAAATATGAGTGTTCTTTGTGCTGACCACATTGATTCATCTTTTGATAAAAAAGAATAGTGTTCCAAATAACATAAAGGCTGTGCTGCCTTTGTAAAGTATAACAAAAAAAACATGCATGGACCTAATCCCTTGCTGTAAATAATGCCACTGCTGATGCCATTTCGATTCATCTCGACTTCCAGATTATCAATGAAACATTCATTAGAGTTTGCCATGATGAATGTAACCTTTAAACAAACAAATATCTCGTTTCAAATAAATGAAGATGTGAAAATTAACACTCACCGATCTTGACAAAATATCTTATAAATAAATAAAGACTAGTTGAAAAAAAATACAATCTGGAAATGAAGACTTTGTAGATCTAAGACAACGTCTAAATAAAGAAATTAAAACAACTTGGTGTAAAGAAATGATGTGCACGAGAAAAGAAGTAAGTCAAGATGTTAAAAGTTATCTAAAGAAGAACGATTAATGCGATATTTAGTCAATGAATCAATTTCTGTGTCTTTCGTATCTGTTGTGGAGGAAAGAATGAATTATGTAAAACTGCATAAATATTTAATTTTTTTTCTTTCCTTAATGCAGAATATATGTGTGTTTTTGATTCGTTAAAATAAAAAAGTCTTCATTTTTGAATAATATCACAGAGGAAAGAAATAAAATTGACCAGCTGCGTCGCTTGAAATTGATTCTTTCGAACTATGGTCTGTAGAGGCGGTGGCTATTAGAAAATGTAACTTGTCGAGAAAAAGGTTTTAAATTAAAGAGAAATTTGTACTCAACCACTTAACAGATCTGAATTTTTTTATTTTGGACCTAGTTTTTGAGAAAAATAGATCGTTTTTTTTTCATAGGAGTACCCCTATTTCTTCGAACTTTTCGAGAAAAACTGACACAAAAAATTAATAAAGAAGAAGTTTAAAAAATTGGACTGTGTTAAGTTGTAGCAGTAAGTGTTGGCTACATTTTGACGTCAACCTGAAATCTGTATTATTAACTTTAGGGGAGAAATCTGGAACGCACGGAGATTTATTTTTGGACTCTTGACATAGGACTAACTCTTAAAGAATTCAATATTTCGCGCTGAAAGTTTTGCTGTAAGCTCCATAGGTCTGTATCCATATTTCCTGAAATTTTCAGGTAGATTGGTTGTTCTGGAACGAAAATAGATTTTTGACAGGGGAACTTAATCACTGTATTAATGATATTTGTAATTAGTGTAATAAAATCTATCGAAGAAAAAGTAAAAAGTTTCTATTAAATAGAAAATCTTTGAAGTATATTTTAATATTAATTAAATGAAAGTATTGAAAATACAAGGAATTACCATTATTAAGAATATTATTTAATTGTTGTATAGCTTGAATATGTTTTTGTGCATGTGTTAAATCTCTTAAAGATTTTTTAATATCATTAAAAAGTTTTGAACGTTCATAATCTTTTCCATCAATAAATAGAAAAACATTTGTATGTAAACATTGAACTAAATCTAATTTAATTTGTCGATTTATTAAAATTCTTTCTGAATTTAATAATGGTTTTATTTTTTTTTCTTATTTCATTTAATGATAAATTTGAATTTGTTAATAAATATTCAAAATATGAATGATAACATTCATCAATTGATATATTATATTTAATTGCTAATTGTTCACCATATTCAAATGAAGAATTATCACACATAAACAAACTCATTATTGTTAAACAATAATATTCACTATCATTTTCAAAACGATTTAAATCAATTCTATTATCTAATTGATTTAATATTGAATATTGACGAGTTTTTAATAAACGTTTATAATTTTCATTATTTTCAATTAATGTTTTATTAATTATCATTGATGGTATTGCATTTAGATTACGTGGTATTGTGCTTTTCATTAATGATTGACAATAAATTGATAACTGTAATGCATCCTCATTATCTTTTTTTGAATTAAAATATCATTCTAAAATTTATTCAAAAAAAACAATTCCATATTTAGTTCATCAATATGAAATCTGTAACTAAATAAAAATTTAGAAAATATTATCCCCTCATGTTCTCATTCGATTTAGATCGCGCTTTCGTAAATTCAAATAGAAATTCTTTATCTTAGTTAAATCGCAAGATGAAACAAATGATATAGAATGATTTTCTTGCGAGATCCTTTTTAGTCTTATAATAGTTAAGTTAATTTTTTTCATTAAAAATGTGGACTTCCATTCGTATTTGATGCTAAATAAATCATGATAAATAATGGTGTATCAATATTGACATATTTTATTCCACTTTTTTCATCTAAAATAATTTTGATTTAAATTTAAATTTGTTTTTCTTCATTATTTACATAGAGTCTGGTGACCTAATTCTGCCGGTAAAAAAAATACTTTTTGTATTTCTTTCATAACTCGAGTTATACATATTGTAGAAAAGTCATTTTTTCTTTCCGGGATAGAGCTAACATTTGTCTATCGAATGATATAAGATTGTTAACGAAATAATAAACGAATCACTCTAGAGAAGGGTGACAATAGAGAAGGGGTCAAATTTCATTCAATTCTCATGTGTTCCTAATTCAGCCGATCAATGTATTTT